CCTTTTACATTTCCACAACATAACCACTATCAGCTAAGAGAAGGTTCTTAACTTTCTCTGAACTCTGCTTCTCACACACCTCCCCAATAACAGCATTTTCTTTTGTTAAAAGAAACAGCAAGCTGTTTGACTTGGCACAAGAGCTACACGTCAAGATGGTCATCTCACAGACAAGGAAGACTGAGATCAAGTTATCTGTCTGAACAGTAAGATGGACCATGACCTCAGAAAGCCTACTTACTCGCCCTGATTCTGCAGAATAGCTTACTGAGTAATTCCCAGCAAGCTGCAATATTTACTCTTTACTTTCTTAATTAGTGAAACAAAGACAGTATTTGCATACTTTGCAATAGCCACATATAAGAAACATTAGTAAGTACAGTCAGTAGCAGACTCTGGGGAAAAAAAAAAATCCTTATTCTGAACCTTCAGGCTATAGGATAAAATGTGAAAGTCACAGTAGTACCATGACGCACTCTCAAATTCCACATCTGAAAACGCTTCATTGTCCTTTCAAGTTTGGGATTACAATAAAGGACTCCGAGAGTGATGACTGTCAAAGCCATTTTAAGCCGAACAAAAGCACCACACAAACAGGCAACCCCAATGATCCACTCTATACAGAAAGGTGGTGGTGGTGGTGGTGGGGGGGGAATTACTTATGCAGCTGCATGAATAATTTAATAACTCTGAAATAGGAGCATTTATTTCCTTTGAACTAGACACTGCCAGTTGGTACCAACAACCTGATATAAAATAAACTGGAAACAAGAAGATTCTTCTCAAAGATTAGTAAATTTTGCTGAAATTCTTCCAAAGAGTTTGTTTCTACACCACAGGAAGCCTGGGAAATTTCAGCCTAAAATTAGCAGCAACCAGAAGAAAAGGATATAAAGACACAGCTACAGCAGGAGTAATAGCTCATGCTACCACATATCGGTGCCAAAATATCTATAATGAGATAAAATGTTTTATTTACCAGGATATTTTAGAAGTTCTTTCACAACAGCAATTTAGCTTCAGTACACTCTGTTACCGGAGCTCATTCTTCTAAATACAAGACTAGTGTGCTTTCAGGACACTCTGCAGTTCCTAAAAACCCAAGCTTAAATTAGTTGCTACTGTTCAAGTCTTCACTAGGCACGTTGCTGTTTAACTTATATGAAGATATCCCCCTACACATGCAGATGTGGCACCAGTATTTTTCAGAATATGTTTGGGTGCCTGACAATTTTTAACACTATACTAACACTGCTTACACTATCCTCTGCAGTTCTAAACGCATTGCACTAGCCTAATCATTTGTCAAGACTAAACAGGGGAAACAGTATCTCTTTACTTTCCTCATTTGCTTCCCTAAGAGCACACAGATCACTACCCATCCTCATCAATCACATCCCACAATATACATTTTTGATATTTAGCAGATCCAGAACATCACCATATCAAGGCAATTGTCAGACTTTCTCTCCTATCAAAGCAACAAGAGAAAATGGAGATCTTTGCACGCCCAAGACAGTTCACAGACTACCAATTTCCAAAACATGTTCTTCATACGTAACCTGACAGCTGGAGGCTCTGGCGAACCATTATCATGCCCTAAGCTCAATTTTCAGCGCTTTGTGGCAAACAAAAGGAAAAGACGTAATCTAACTGACAACAATACAAAACAAAGGATGGAAAATGCTAACGTAAGAGTCTGGAGCTATATTGACTCCAACCTGTTCAAAATAGTTTACCTTTCAGTCTCCATGGAAGATGCTAAGGCATCAAGTATGCACACGTTCTCCTCGCGCAAGGCATTCTCTTCAGCTGTTTACAACAGCCTTTAAACAGTGTTTACACTTGAACCGGATACAGCACTCCGGTATTGGTCTCACCAATTCCATACACAGTGATAGAAAAATGGAAGACGAGAAGTGATTTTTAACACCTAAGAGCACAGCTGTTTTGCAACATACTGCACTGGAAGTTCGACTGCTTTTCCACTACGACAGCGATTTAAGACTCAAGTCATAAGACATGGGACCAAGAACTGGAAGGACGAAAAAGTAAGTATTTAAGAAGTAACACTTTACAGCTTTCTGAACAAGAGACCTACTGCATGCCACAACACAAACACTCCCTGATGGCAAATCGTAACAAAGGCAACAGGTTCTTGTTAGCAACCACAAAGCCTGAAGACCTGGGTGGGGAATCTACTTCTCCGAAAGCCACAAAGGCCTTTCCAACATCTTTGGCAGGCGGTGTTGCCCAAGAGCAAGACATAGAAAAAGAGCAAAGTCATGAGATTTGTGCATTTTAATAACCCGCTCTCGAGCCATGTTTGCTTCTCATTGCCTTTCCCAATCTAAATGTTGCTAGGTCACTCAGCTGACAGCAAGGCTCTTCACTGAAGTCAGTCTCAAAAACTGAACTATAATCAAGAGCAGAGAACGACTGGCTAGATGATCCAGGGAATGAGGAGTTTATTTTACAAGTAGTAGCTGGGATACTCTGCCATGTACAGCTTGGCAAAAATGGAGGCTGAGGGGAATACGATTACTATCTTCAAGCACATCAAAGGAATAATTGCTTAGGAGGGAGGGGAACTACTCGAGAACAATACTGGCACAATAACGTAAGAGTATAAGCTGACAGCTGACCATAAATAAAATTTAGACTAGAAATTATACAGCTTTTAACTATCAAAGTAGTTTCCAATAAGAACAGTGGAGGCAAAACTTTGACTATTCTTCTGCTTTTATAACCGGATCAGTCTGGTGCACACAGCTGCCCCTGCACAGCAAAGAACACAGATAGGAAGGCAGATAGAAAGAACAAAGAGATAAGCAGGCTCATTATTTTCTTCTGGGAGATACTGTCAGACAGACAATAAGACGACACAGTAGCTGCTTACTGCACAATTTCAAAAGTAGTATTAAGATCACACCACGAGGGACGTGCACAGAGAGCATGCAATTTTGAGCTTAAGGTGGCTTCCTCTCCCCCAAGTCCATGAAGTTGTTGGGATAAAAGCCGAGGACTTGAGTGTGCCCTCCAAAGAGCTATATATTTTTGCAAAGGCTGTTGCAGGGAAAATGGGATGTCTCCCTCTCAAATCTGAAAATGTATCACTCACTGCAATACTGAACTGAAGACTTTTTGTCCTGCAATGACTGCATCTCTCCATATAGCCATAAATGTAACATCAGCGTAGCTTTTCAGAACATATGCACCAAGGGGTCGCACAGAGAGCTAGACTGTTAAAACAGTGTCCAATCCACTGAGCGTGTTATTCTGCAGCAAGCCCACTTGGTGTCACTAATGACCACTGGTCACAAACAGCGAAAACAACCTGCAGAGAGTTGCAGTCAGTTCTAAGTTTTAGACCAAGCAACTCAAAAGAAGGGCCCTGATGCTTTTTATTACACGTTTGTCTTCCTGCACTAGCTTTAATCGGTCACGACAAGCTGACTGTCTTCTTAAGACAGAACAAAGCGTGACATTCAGGGAAACGAAAACTTCATTCACAGTGCAAGAGGTACGCAGTAAGCCTGAGGTACTGCACAGAACAGCATTAAGTTCCCAACATTAACAAAATCTCACAGTATTTTATTGTTCTTTCAAAGCCTCAGTTCCTCAAACTTGGCTATTACTCAAGAATCACATCTTTCATTTAGAAATGAAATGTATTTTCATGTAGCCCCAAAAATTGCAGATGGGAAAAAAAAATCTCAAAACTGAACTACATTGTAACTTTTTCTTTCTGATCCGTCACACAGACTAGAAATAAGTCTGGTTCAAAGCTGGTTCGTGTACTTCCTTGACAGATACCCAATAAACTAAAACCAATTTCAATTACCTCAAAAAAGCCTCTGCAAACCACAAAACTTGAGTCAGTCAGGTTTGCTAGTAAAAGAGCTGCATGTTTCTAAACAAGAATTAATGCTTTCACAGCCATCTGCTTGTCCCTTATGATTCCACAAGGGAATAATGGTGCTTAATTCCAGCTCGCTCAGCTGTTGCCATAGCAACAGACATAAGTACATGCCTATTATTAACAGATCCTCAAAGTATTGAAAAAAAAAATCATCAGTATCCGAAAATTCCTATTCAGGGTACTGCCAGCACATAACTATCAAGCACGCGATTTGCCAATTTCCATTCAACGCCGGCTTGTCATTTTGTCAATTTAACCACTTACCAATTATACCGCACCTTCACTTTTTGTTTTTTTTATTGAGAGGCTGAGCAACAGCAAAGTTTTGCAGAGAAACAACAGGCAAGGAAAAAAAGAAGAGCACAGTAGTTTTGGTTGGCTGCAGAAGGAGGTGTAATTGAAGAAGTACTAGTCAATGAAAGCAAAAAGAAAAACATGAAGATTCTGCTGAAGAAAGAAAAGCAGTGGTAGCAGCTACAGGAATTAACCGCGTTCATTCATCATTCATCTAAAAGCAAAGTAAAAACACAAGAAGTAGAGACGTTCAACAGTTTCAAGGAGGGGAAAAAAAGTGATTTTACTTTAAAGCTAATCTTTTGAACTAGTTGCTTTAATTCAGCATAAGACCTATGAGGTTTTAATGCATCACTGTGTTTTTTCCCCACAGTTAAAACCAGCTGATATCCTACGAGAAGGATCTACTTCTGATTTTTCAGTAAGTTTCCATTTAGTAGAACAGCTGAAAAACTCAAGCATTAAAACATGAAAAATAGCACCTGCCAGATAAAGGCACAATAAAGTCACCTATTACAAAAAAATCTCAGGGAATAAAACAATAGAAGAAGATAAAGAATAGGATCTGAAATATTTTCATTCCTCTACCTGTTGCAACTTTTGGCCGGAAGCTAAACATTAGAAAAGGAAATAAAGCTATGTAGAGGTTGTAAGGGGTATAAACAACAGTGCAGATGGCTTGACTTACAAAGAATATCAGACTACATAATGCAACAGTCTTTCTGGACACCTGACATCTATGAAATAGCCTAAAATCAGATTAAAGAGTTTAAGAAAACATTACCGTGAACTTGTTAAAAGTGATGGACAGCTGGGTGATATTTACTTCCTTCCAAAACATAACGAAATATTTTGACTGTTGAGAATGCTTGATTATCTTGTAGGGCCTAGAAGCGGGACAGAACATGTTCTACTCCTGGGGCCTTCAGAACGGCCTATGTGCGTTCTGCAATTTGAGCAACAACTTTTCAGTTTTATAGATTGGCTTACTCTGTTTTTCCAGTGAGCTATCCGCCCCCATCTCACTCTTTGTTCTCACTGAAAGATTTTCAGTTGAAACCCCCATGGAAATATCAGCTAAGGAATTGTTTCCATGACACGTTTCTTGCATCAGAACTACTGAATGTTAACCTGAAGGCAAGATTTCAGCATCGGATAACCTTAACTCCTAGTCCAAAACTTCATCTACCAAAGCAACAATATTCCCTATTCAATTTCATTATCCTCCCCCCCTCCCAGCTGTTTTAGAAGCTAATACAACACTCTCTGGTGGTGGGTCTCTGCGGTAGGTCACATCCATGCACCGAGTTACCTCCACATTTGTTTAGAGCGTTTAGTTTAGGATTTGACAGTTTTAGTTCTTACCAGACCACACTGAATATGATCTATTCCTACATGCTGACTTCACTAACCCCACAAATTAAGAAAGCATGCTTCAGCCAGGGCTAAAACTGCAATTGCTCCTCTGGGTTTCTAGGTGCGCAGTGCTGCAGTACAGTTGTCCTTTCCTCCTGTGCCAACAGGGAGCGGGAAGGAAGGAGGGAGGCCTCTGACTAGCTCGGAAGGGAGGAAAGTGGAAGGAAAAGGAGGTGACAAGAAGAAAGAAGAGAGGACAAGGCACCAGCAAGAATTCATGTAACCACTCTGGAAAAGGAAACAGGGCAGCACAGAAAGCGGAAGGAGGTAAGGAAGAAGGGGATGGTCAGAAGAGTAAAAAGGCATTATTTCAACAGGAGCAGCTGAACTGCCTAACCCCAAGCAGCTAAAGGCCGTATGCTCCCTTCCCATCTGTCTTACTTCCTCCACTGCCCACCTTGCACCTAAACTGCTTGCAAGGCACAAAACACATCCATTTCCTACAAGGCCTACTTGGCCTGAATTCCAGATTCCCCTAGCTGGGAAGGGCTGACGAGCTGTAATAACAGCCTTTCCTTAACTGCACTCTACTCTACTCGAGACCACCCTCATGGTCAGCGCAGAGTCCAGACCTTAGGGCTGCCCAGCAAGGCATCCTACTCTCCGAGATGCTGTGAAAAATCCCCTTGTACTTCAGGCATGTAAAAAGCTACCTGAACACCTTCTGTCACTCCCAGCTACAGCACAATTCCTGTGCGGTAACAGCCAAGAAAATTGTTTCCAAAAATTCTGAGGGTGCAGAGGAACAGACCTGGCCTCGCTTTGCTGCCTTATGCACACCTAGGGCTGCTGCAGAGTCCTAGGCCCACTTTCCCCACAGGGCTCTCCCCCACCCCCATAGAAAGACATTTGAAGGAAAATATACATAGGTGCCACATTCTTTATTATGATAACAAGCACTATATCAGATTGGGACACAGAAAGCAATTTGTGGGATAAACTGAAGTTTTTTTAGTCATGTATAGTTTGTTTGATGACAGCTATCTTACTGGAGCTGCTTTAAACACGCACGTCAGTGAATCTGATGATCTCTCTCAAACAGGAAATCCTTCTAAAATATTAGGAAATAATAAGCACTAACACTGCTGAGTTGGTAGAACATAAAGTTTTCACACACCCAAAGCCAGGGTATAAAGAGAAGACCTCATGTTTCTGCTTATTTCTGGATATACATTACATTTCTGGGGAAAATGAATGTGGAATTATACAGTTATGATCAATATTATCCTGCAGCATAAAATGGCATTAACAACTGCAGTCCCATTATTCTGTAGGAAACCACTGTCCAGCGCAACAACTTTTCAAACACCCGTTGGTGACATAAAACTTTAAACTAGATTCTCTAAGTATTATTTTGCTGTTCCACAACAGAAAAAAAGTTTCTTTACGCTTTTCCTCAGGAAAAAACAAAACATAACAAAAGAGGGCACACATAAAACATGTAACTCTTCTTCTGACCTCTTCCAGGCTTTTTTGTATCAGATTGTTGTCATCATTAAACCAAAGATCCCCATCTTCTCCAAACCTAGGTGAGGTCAGCTAGTAAGTTACCAGCACTAGAGAGGTAATAAACTTATTTCACTTGCCAATACAGGCCTTAACTTTAACCCTGACAGCCCATATCATAAGTGGCCAATCACATCTCTGATCAGATGAGCTTGCCCAAATTAGCAATATACATTAGTATACATTAGCAAGCCTAATCCCAGGCGGAGTCCTAGCACAGCCTCTACCAGACACAGTATTAAAGCTAGCAAGAGCGACCAGGCCAGTGTCAACCCTCCACCAGCCCTTGCACTCCTCCTCTCCAGGAGGTTTTGAGAGTGCAGTTAATGTTCCTACACTTCCAAGTTTCACTGAGAAATAGGATAAACTCACAGTGCAACTACAGTGTTTTTATTCACGCATCAGCACCAACTCCGAGTTATTCATTATGATTATCAGCAAGCAAGAAGTGCTTCAGTTTAGCCTAACAGAAAAAGAAAAGATAGCAGCAGTGGGGGAATGAAATTTCAGAAGCCTACCTTTCTCCTCCCTACTGCACAGGGCACTGAATACACCAGGAGGTTTGTAGGACCTGATACACACAGAAAGCTTTAAGGTCAAGACACAGTCACCTTTAGGTAACCGCTCTCTGCCAGAGTGCTTTTCAGCCAAAACCACCCCACAGAGGCACTGCGGGAGCACCCCAAAGCCACCAGCCACACTGCTATTGCACAGCTTGTCCGGACACCGGCACAGGACCCATAGCAGCAGGGGCTCTGCAGACAGCACCGGCCTCCCTCCCGGCAAACCCGCCTCCGCTCCCCCGACCCACCGCACCGCAGACCC